CCCTTTCCTTCATAAAATTACTTGGTTTTACAAAAGTGCTTCTGCCGTGTGAATTCTTTCAGCTTTGAAAAGCAAGAACTGACAAATTATCCCAGAAACCTACCAGTGGCTGGGTACCATCTAGTTCTTTTTTTCACAAGGAAGTCTGTATTCTTTTGAATGAAAACCTTTTTTCATCCACAAGGGTTTTAGTGATTGTCAGGAATGAGCAAACTCTTAGATACATTTTCACTTTTTCCACATAGATAGAACAACCAGGTCCAGTAGACAGCTATTCTGAACAGATGTTTCAATTCAAGTCCGACTCTGAGATTGTTGTACTGACTTCACAGATTTTATCAGTAACCTATGAGGCTGAGGAAGGAGACAAGAGTTTTCCGTGGCAAGCTTTGCAGATAATTTAATAGCGCTGAAAGTATACCTATTCACAGCTTCTTGATTACAAGAGAGTAGAACTAACAGTTAATTTTCTAGGTACTTTGGGTTTGGCTGAAGTTGCAGTCCTCCCTAAACCACCTTTTAATAATAGAAAAAACCCATTCTTTGAGTCTTTGATAAAACCAGCCAAGCCAGACTCTCTCCCATAGATTCACAGCGACCTTACAGTGTTTCCAAGGGCATCTTTATAGGAGCAGTTAGCCTTAGCTTCCTCACTCCAAGTATCTGGTGGGTTCAAACCACTGACCTTTTTGCTTATAGCCCAGTGCTTACTGGTCAGCAGCATCAGGAATATAGATACAGTGACTGGCAAAAAAAAAACAACATGCTTCTCAAAATATCTGTCAAATGATAAAGATCAGGATTCAAGTGTTTTGATTCAAGTGTTCAAACTTGATATAAGTCACCTGTGGTGTTGGGTAAATTAAAATGTGTCCAATGGCCACCAATAGAGGCATTTTTATTATCTTCTGTAATCCACTCACAGGATCTTACTCAGCTATGGTTCAAACTAAAGACACAGGAGGAACACACTCACAAATCTCCTGTTTTTGCCTTAAAGCTCTCACACATGCAAAACACCACAAGCTCAACCCGAGCCCTTGGTCTCCTTCTTAGGGATCCCTCACATCCGAAATCCTCCTGCTTCTCCTGCACCTGTCCCAGCATTCCTGAAGCCCTCAGCACAGAGGCCAACACCGTAATTGTTTTCACTAGGGCAGTGGTTCTCAACCTTCCTAATGCCGAGACCCTTTAATACAGTTCCTCATGTTGTGGTCACCCCCAACCATAAAATTATTTTTGTTGCTGCTTCATAACTGTAATTTTGCTACTGTTATGGATTGTCCTGTAAATATCTGATATGCAGGATGTATTTTCATTGCTACAAATTGAACATAATTAAAGCATAGTGATTAATCACAAAAACATTATGTAATTACATATTTTGAAATATTTCTAATTACAAATCAATGAAATTTTGTCTTGAAGCATGGTGTAGCATGGGTAACAGTCTTCACATTGGATACTCATATGTGGGCCTATCTGCATGTGGGCGGATCCGCCTCGAGATGGACATAAGAGCGGTGTCTCAATTCCTAAGACCATCGGAAATATGTGTTTTTCAATGGTCTCAGGCGACCCCTGTGAAAGGGTCATTCGACCCCCCCCAAAGGGTCACGACCCACTGATTGAGAACCCTTGCACTAAGGGATTGAGCATTTGATCCCTAGAATTGATTAGTCACTTCCCCTTGTCAGGGATGTGATGTAGTCAGTGTCAACATTATTGTCAAAGGGTTAATGACTCCGGAGGCTAGGACCCTGGTGAAGGAGGTAGGTTCCCAAGTCAACACAATGAGAGAGGCCTCTTGTTTATGATCCCCTGGTATTGCTGGATCCTTTCATCAGTTATTCCCTCCCAAGCAATGCCTGCTGAAAATCAGGCTGAGTCTGACCTCACAGTGACCTTCAGACAACACAGACTCCTGAGCAGTAAGAGATAATGGCACAAAAGGGGCCACAAGGAGGTTTTATTACTTCTGTTTCCAGGTGAGGAGGAGGAGTCAACCATCAAAAGAGGATGGCCACTTTACACCAAGCTTCACAAGGGAAAACAAAATACATAAAAAGACACTCCACAAAGGAATTGATTTGAGAAACATGAATTGTGTGATCTATGGATTGTACGGAGTGAGGAGTAATAAATGCCAACTTGTTTATTGATTAAACCAGAACTGAGTGAGATGTTAATTGATTAAAATAGAAGAGAGATTTAAGGCACTTCCCAACTCCGCCCAATCACTACACATTACCTTAACAGGTACACTTACTTGAAATAGGTACAAAGTGACAGACCTTACAAACTACTCTGACCACCCAAATCGGGAGGGAAACCAGCGATGGTGGAAAGGCAACTAAAACGTGGAACTTGGACCTGGCTGTGAAGGGAGCAAAAGTGAATCCGCAGACATTACGGGAAATAAAAAGAAAATTTGATCAAGTATCTGGTTGTGGTAGAAACTTATTTCCTTAGAGATACACAAATATTGTTCTAACCTTGGGGTCACAACGTCCTCACAAGACTTTGCTTTGGACTGCTAACTTTCTAGGGCGTCATCGTGACACAGTAGACTAGGCCGAGAAGGGAGCCAAGAAAGGAGCTTTATCTTCCGACGCCCGGCCCTTGTGCCAAGGCAATTAACACCGGTCCTGACACTCTTTTCTCCATTGTGCTCTAGCTACCTGTGCTTCATTTTAAACAAAGGTCGCCAAGCAGCGCACTTCAGGAGCCAGAAAACTGAGGCTGCCGCTGAGAAGGACCTGAAGGGCTTGCAAAGGCTCCCCGTCCCTTTTTGCCTTGGGATTTTCAAATGACATTACAAGAGGAATGGAAGGTTTCTCCTTAAATATCTTTTAGTTCGGTAGCCAGGTTCCGTTTTGGATTTGAGACGTATCTTTGCCATTAAAGTTGGCACACACAAAAAAATCTGCTAGGTCTTCCTGCCTCCTGTTTCTAAATTAAGTCCTCTTAAATCCTGAGACTTCCACATCCCAGGTGGAAACTCCAGATCAGGGAACGCCTCCAAGCTCCTCGGGCTAACCCCTTCTCAGTGCTCCACTAAATAGAGCGGGAACTGCTGGAGGAGGCGGCTCAGAGGCACAGGGCGGGGCCAAGGGCATTCTCAGTAGGACTGCAGACCTTATCAGCTTTCTACCCCCACCCCCGATCTCCCCCGCGCCCCGCCCCCCAAGGGGCAGCCTTTCTTTCTCCCCGGCCAACTGTAATCAGATGTCGCCGCTATCTGCCTTCCGGCAGTTTTTACCCCGGTCTTTTCTTCCCCCCTTTTCTCAGCAGCGTACCCCACGAGTAGACTCTCCTACCCTGATCCCTTAAAGGGCTGGGTGGCGGGGCTCAGAGGAAAAGCCACCGCCCGCGAGGCTCGCCTCTAAGGGTGGCCCGGTACAGTAGGTCTCCCCCCGACCGCCGCGGCCCAGGTGCTCAAAGCCTGCGGGGGGTGCGCCTCTCCCGGCCCGGCGGACCGGGCGGCGGGCGCCTGGGACCGCGCACACATTTGCATACTGCCTGCTGTCGCAGTGGTGTCAAAGCTGCGGGCGAACACGCCAGCGGACGTCTGACTGTGAGCACAGGAATTGCAAATGCGCTGGCCCCCGAGACTCCGGAGTCCCATCCAGGCAGGAAATAAAGTTCCAAGCGGCTTTGAAGTGCTTCCTCCCACGCCCCTCCCCAGCTCGGAGCCCCAGCTCCGCGGAGCAGACCGACCACCGAGCCCGACTGAGCCGACGCGGCAGACGTGACACGCCAGTGGGCTCCCCACCCACCGCACTCACAGTACTTACTGAAACGCAGCTGGTCCCTAGGCATTCCTTGTACCACAAACGGGAGGTGTTGCGAGTCTTTAAATTGGGGGGGGGGGACGGACGACGACGACAGGGAAACGCCTGGGCGGTAGGGTGAGCACTGTTCCTCCCCCCACCGCCTTTTTTTAAAAAGCTCTCATTCAGACTATCAGCCAGTTCAGGTCATTTCCTGCGTAACGCTACAAGTTAAAACAAGATCCAGAAAATCCATTAATCTTTAATTACGCCGCCTCCAAACCGGGAGCACGATTTGTTGGGGGAGGGGGGGGGTAAATAGGATCGGTTGGTCGGAAAGCCAAAGGCCGGAGAATGCCGAGCCCCCGGCCTCAGCGGCTTCTTACCTCGCTCAGCTCCGCCGAGGAGTCGTTGCCATATTTCAGGGCAACTCCAGAATTCATGACTGCACTTTTTCAGAGCCGGGCTCGTCCTCCTCCGGGTCTCGAGGATGGGGAGCTGGACTTAACAAGCTCGATGTCCACGGCTCGGTGCCTCCCCGTGCATTTTATTTTAGACAGCCATCTTCGCCCAGGACAGTCGCGAAGTCCAAACGCAGGATGCAAACACTCCGAAAAGGAGCCGGAGCCGGCGGGCGGTTCAGCCACGAGCCACGGCCGTGAGAGGCGTCGGGGCCGCGGCGCGCACGCCGCTGCTGCAGCTGCAGAGCCACCGCCGGTCCCGGGCCCGCGCGCTGCCTCCCCCGTCCTAGGGCGCCTCGCCCTCCCCCATGACCGGCTGGCGGGCACCGAAGCGCCGGCCACCACCCCCCGGCCGGCTGCGGAGCAGACTGGCAGCGGGACGCGCAGACCCCGCGCCGCGGCTCCGGGGAAGGAAAGCAAGCCGGAGAGAGGCAGAGCGAGCGGAGCTGCGCTACACGCCGAAGTTTCCCCTCGGAAGGCTCTGGAGTTGTGAGTGGATTCTGATTGAACCCAGCTGTCTAGCTGCTGGCTACGCCGGCGCGGAGGGGGCGGGGGCGGGGAGGGGCCGGGCGGCGGGGGGGCGGGGAGGGGGGAGGCCGAGCCCAGGAGACGCTGCCGTGCGAGCAGGCATCCTTCCAGCTCTGCGATAGTAATTACAGGACCCAATCCAAGAGGAAGAGCGAAACAGGAAAAGCCACCTGAATAATTGTGCAGGAAAAAAAATTATTTTTTTAAGACGTTCCACTTACCAGATCCACTTTCCTTGATTTAATGGGGTTGAGACAAATCTGAACACTACTCGGAGCAGCGCTGTGCACCACTTCTCGTGGACCATTAAGATTTCAGAAGAGTACAGGGCGGTTGTGTTCCCGGCTCAGTCTGAAGCAGTGGTTCTCAGTACAGTTTCTCATGTGGTGGTGACCCCCTAACCATAACATTATTTTCGTTGCTACTTCATCACTGTCATTTTGCTATTGTTATGAATCGGGCGACCCCTGTGAATGGGTCGTTTGACCCCCAAAGAGGCCACAGCCCACAGGTTGAGAACCGCTGGTCTAAAGTCAATACTGAGGATCTAAATTCGCTGTCAAACTCCCTCCCTCTCTCTGTCCTGGGACAGGGTCCATTTTCTGTATGTCTGTAATAAGGATAACGATGTCCCATCCCTTGAGAGATCGGCTCACATTTTCCATCCTCTTTAACCCCAGCTCAATAGAAATAGCACTCACTGCTCACGGAGGCCTAGAGGGATTCTGTCTTCATCAGAAGAGATCCTGTCAACCACGTTCTCCAGTCAGATGCCTGGGTCAGAGCTCCCCCACAGGCGTGAGTTCTCCTGGATGTACGGACAAGACTACAGAGAGACCAACACAAGTTGCAGGTACCATCGAGAGGTTTTAATTCTCCTTGTTGAAAAAGACGAGTAGTGACTCCTTCCTCTGTTCTTTCAGAATTCATTTGAGATAGTTGAATCATGTTATTTCATTTCTTTGAAAAGCATGTAAGCGGGACAATGAATAAGGAAGCCTGGGGAAGAACTGATGCATTCATTGATGCCCTCACTGAATGATGGTGCTGGCAAAGAATACTGAAAGGGCCCCGGACTGCCAGAAGATTAAGCAAATCTGCCTTGGAAGAATGACAGCCAGAATGCTCCGTAGTGTGCAGGGCTGACTTCATCTCACATACTTTGGACATGTCAGTTGAGACCACTCCCTGAAGAGAGACATCATGCGGGGTAAAGTAGAGGAGCATTGAAAAGGAGGAAGGCCCTGCAGGAGATGGACTGACAGTGGAGCTGCAGCAAAGGGCTCAAACATAACAATTGGGAGGCTGGCCTAGGACTGAGAAATACTCTGCTGTCCACAGGATCACTGTAAGCTGGAAGCAACTCCATAGCTGTGAGTTTGGATTTTCTGTTTTAGTCTCTGAGGAAACATCTTTGATTTACATAATCTAAAAGATATGAAATAATTTTCATTTCCAGCAGAGGAGGTGGGGAGTCACTCCCCCCACCCCACCCCCACCCCCCGACACTTTTCTTTCATTCTCGACTAGGAGAATTAAAGCCTCTCAATTGTATTTGCAACTTGTATTAGCCTCTCTGTAGACTTGTTTGTACATCCAGGGGAACTCAAGTGGGAAGGGTAGCTCTGACCCCAGGCAGCGGAAATGTAATAATGAAGAAAGATTGCACACTCCTAGTTTCCTGAAAGGAGATTCACACCACTTCAGGTTGTGGTTGCTAAGTGCCATCTGGTCAGTTCTGACCCACAGTGACCCTATGTACACCAGGAAGAAGGACTGCCTGTTCGGCGCCATCCTCACAATTGTTATGTTCAAATCCATCGTTGCAGCCATTGTGTCAATCCACCTTGTCGGTCTTCCTCTTTTTCACTACCTTTCCACTTTACCATGCATGATGTGCTTTTCCAGGGACTGGCCTCTCCTGATAACATGTCCAAAGTATCCGAGATGACGTCTTGCCAGCCTCGTTTCTAAGGAGCATTCTAGCTGTCCTTCTTCCAAGACAGATTTGGCAATCCATAGCACTTTCAATGTCCTTTGCCAACACCATAATTCAAATGCATCGATTCTGCTTCGATTTTTCTTAGTGTCCGACTTTCACATGCATATGAGGTGATTGAACATACCAGGAATGTGGCCATAAAGATGATGAAATATTAACAGTGTTATCTTGGAAACATGAATGTAATGGGCCAGATCCACTTAGCTCTAATAATAGAAAGTAGCTGGTGGCGCAAATTACTAAGCACTAGACTGCTAAAGAGCTTCAAACCCGTCTAAAGACACCTGAGAAGTAAGGTCTGGCAACTCCAAGGTCACAGCCTTGAAAATCTTAGGCGTTCAGCCCTTTGCACTTGGCACCTCCACGACTCAGAACACACTTATTAGCCTGTCTGCAACTAACAACACAGTAGTTAAGATTCCTTTCTGTCATCACAGCCTCTTTAGAGGACTGTTCTGATGGACTGCATTCTGGCTTGATATTTTTCAGTAACAAAACTTTTCTTTCTATTCTATTTTGGTGGAGATGTTTTCTAGGTTGGGGTTAGATTTTATCTTTATGAACTTTTCCCCAGCACAGAGAGGTGAATGATGTTATCTCTATAAGTGTTATAGGTTCTCTATAAGGCTCAATAAGGCACCCACTGGACTTGGATGCCCTGGAAAATCTTCCGATCCTTTCAAACAGTAGGTTTTCAGGGTTGCTTAAGAAACCTCATCAATCTCATTCTACACAATAGAAACAAAAATGTCTCCAGCTCAAATGACAGACTTCGGCATTTCCTGAAGCCTTCTGTGAGAAAGCCAGTGTATTATTAACTTCAAAAGTATGCTTTTTAATCCCAAAGAGAATGTTTATTTACCCTTTAAGACTCAAAGAGCTCAACATTTACATAGATATCTTACCGTTCACCTTCCTGTTGAGTACATTCATGCCTGCTGGAAACAATGTGGGGATAAAGAGCATAAGGGCCCAAGTTCTAGGCCATTGCCAAACTAGAGCACATTAGGAATTGCTCTTCTGCATAGATATGGAATGGTTTGGAAACCACACCATTCATTCATTCACTGCTGAAAATTGTGTGCTTGGTGGTGGTGGAAAATATAAAAATATAAGGAAGACTCAGGCACTGCCCTCACCATAAAATAGTTTGGCAAAACTTGACCAGGAATGACAATTCTAGATAGAAAGCATTTGACGTAAAACCAGTACATACGCATAAAGGTTGATAACATTTCAGAGGAGGGAAATCTATGTCAGTACATGATCAGGAAAAGACCCTGTGAAGGAATCATAAGAGACTGCTATTTGAAGAATGGCTAAATCAAGCCGAGATGGGGAGTGGGGAGAAGATAGTCGAGGCAATAAGACCATGCGAGAGAAAATAGAAGATGGAATGTGCAAAGGGATGTGTGAGCAATGACAGGCCTTCCATATCAGCACGGAACCTGTGTTAGAAAGCCATATCGAAGCTAGATTGTGGATGGTTTTGAGTGCAGGCTAAAGAAATAGAACTTCCTAATAAGCAATGAAGAGCCAACAAGGGTTGGCTCAGAAAGAACACAATTGGAGCTTTAAGAAACTCCAGTAAATTTGTGTTATGCTCACAATGAACTTACATGAATTCAAACAGTAGTGTGGAGTGCGATTCTGGTGTTTAAAGATTTATTTAAAGATACATAGTTTTCATACAAAGTCCCTAAATTCAAGCAAATGAATTCATCTGGTATTCAACCAAAAGAAAAGTGACTTCCTTGTCTAGCAGACTTGCCCCATGGATTATGTCCCTTCAGTTCTTGACTGCTGCTTCCATGAGCATTTATTGTGGATCCAAGCAAAATTAAGTCCTTGACAATTTCAATCTTTCCTCCATTGATCATGATATGGTTTGTTGGTTCAGTTGTGATGATTCTTGTCTTCTTTACATTGAGTTGCAGTACAAACTGAAAGATTTAGTCTTTGATTTTTATCAGCCAGTGCTGCAAGTCCTCCTTGCTTTCAGCAAGCAAGTTGTGTCATCTGCATATTGTAGCTTGTTTATAAGGCTTCCTCCCATCCTGATGCCATGTTATTCTGCATATAGTCCAGTTTCTTGGATTATTTGCTCAGTATTCAGATTAAATAAGTATAGTGAAAAGGCTCAATACCAACCCACACATTTCCTGATTCAACACTAGGCAGCATTCCCTTGTTGTGTCCCAACAACTGCCTCCTGGTCCATGCACAGGTGAGTACAATGAATAGTCTGGGATTCCTATTCTTCTCAATGTTATCCATAGGTCGTTATGATACACAGTCGAATGCCTTTGCGTACTCAATAATAACACCAGTAAACATCTTTCTGGTATTCTCTACTTTCAGTCACGAAACGTGTTACCAACTCAGGTCTCAGCACAACTGAGAGAAAAAGACAGAGACGGGATAAAAGTGAAAGGAGAAAGCTTTACTTTGTTGACCATGCAGGGAGCAAGCTGGGACTAGAGTTACTAAGGCAAACTCCGGGGGGAAAAGGAGGTTTACAGTTGTATACATGTACACCGTGAAGTAAATTATGAATATGTAACTGATTTCCTAGAAAGTCACATGTATACATGAAGGTGGGGCTGTGAAT